CCCCTTCCCTCGGGGTCATGATTTAAACAAACAATCAATCTACACTATAAAATGAAGCTTTCACATAAATTTAAACTTTTCTGGTCCAGTGGTTTTGAGAAGATTTTTGAAAGATGCCTTTTCACTAATTCTTAATTATCCCCTTCATTTGAACAAACCAAACTTGAATCCCCTTCACCCAGTGATGCGTTGTGGTAAGTTTGTTAAAAATTGGTCTAGTGGTTCTGGAGAAGAATGAAAATGTAAAACTTTTACGACAACAACAACAACACTTAACGTACAAATTTTAATCAGAAAAGATCATTTGAGCCTTCGACTCACGTGAGCTAAAAAGTGCTCTAAATAATGAAGTTTATCTTCTCTGGATAAACTAGGTTATTTTGAACACATATTTTCTCACTATAGTAAGAACGGTATTTCGTACTTTTCACAATTATGCAACTGGGCATGCTCAAGAGTAACTTCCTTTTCCTGCTAAACAAGAAAGCTGCTAGATGCCAGAAAGGACAAGTGCACTTAAGCAATGCTTAAGGACATACGCAACGTAGGTTGAACTTTATTGTCTTTTTCCTTGGAGTTGAAGAGTTCCAATACTTAAAGGAACTGTGTGCTACATTTTAATATCTATATATGCTGTTGTACACTTCTTCTAAAACAAGTTTGGATAAACAAAACATCTAGAATATATGTTTAGTAATTTTTGTATATTTTTCTTTGAATTATACAAGAATTTTCATCAATTGATATCTTTTCAAAACCCCTGGTAATACATGCTGATTTTTTGTCTACGAACATCTGATGGCACTATAATCTTAAATTAAGAATATCTTGAAAAACTATCAGTAGGTAAGGTACATTGCGTATGTCCTTAATGGGCCCTTTTTCAGTGCCGTTTTACTTTAGAATATATGACCAAATCGTTCTCTTTTGGTAATAGTTAAACACAAGTGGATATTTCTAATTAAAAATTACGCTTAAAAATGTCACCTAAATCAGCATGGATTTGAAACAAATGAAGAGTTTTAATGCCTATAGATACCCCAGATCCGGAAAAGTCGTATCGAACCTACATGTATTTTGAGTTTCGTTTATTTTTAAAAATCAAGGGGAGGAGACATTTAAATTGACACTTGAACAATCTGATGGTGGATCAATGACGGGCGCGTTTGCCGAATACTTCTTGCGCTATTTTACCTGTAAAAAATCGAATAAAGTTTATAGATGCCTGTAGCCATAGTGATCAAACTAAGAAATTTGCATGCTTGCATTTGAAAAAATGCAATAAGTATTAACATCAGTTCCTTTAAATTTTGAAAAGAAAAAATTGTATTTAGGTGGCTTTCAATACCGGTACCGTTGTCTTATGAATGTTAAAAATGTTTGACACTTTTATGTATGATGACATTTTAACGACAATAAACACTCCTAACCCTCTCGTGTTCCTAAAACCAAATACATACAACATTTCTAAGCGGTACGACTTTGATATAATGATATAAAACGTGGCTATGTTTTACAGTGAGCACATTTGTGGAATGTTTATCTGGGTAAAACTCATGTGACTACCGGTATTTTAAATAATTTATTCCACAGGTGGGTTCAACACAGGTCATACAGGTAAATAGCTCTCACTTGCTATAGGAAAAACGTTGAACTTTACATACATTTTTAATATTTTAAGTACCAGCCTAATCTTGTACAAATTTCCTACTTCACACAAGTTTTATAAATGTATAATGCGTTTTTTGTCATTCGCACAAGTTTGTGCAACATTAGGCTGACAGAAAACAAAAGCTTTGAAATGAATGACCGTAGTCGATTTACTATAGAAAATCACGAATGTCGACTGACCCCTACCACATTGTATGGCTTTTCTCTTTGTATATTCATGAATACCAGCGATAAAATTTGTTGATTCTTATGGTTTAGATATCAATTAATGATTTGAGATGACAAATTAAGCTTCATTTGATTCTTCATTTTTTCACATTTTACCGGGGCCCATAAGTGCACTCGTTCTTTAACTAAAAATAATTGCTTGTGATGTAAGAAAGTTAACTCCTTTTTTTACATTGATATTCCGAAAGGAAATGGATCTTTTATTGATTATTTGTTCTAACTCTAAGAAAATTCCAATAATTTTCGCTTATGTCATGTTAAAATATTTATGTATTGTAAGCTTAAAATTAGTTACTATAAACGTCTGATCTGTGATAACAGGTAGAGTAGCTATGATTAACCCAGTTAGATCGTTAGATCCAAATCAGTAACCTGAAAGTAGAGCTCTCAAGAATTTGGGACCTTCAAAACTTTATTATCAAATGTGTTCAGTAAAATGCTTAAAAAAAACCTGTAATGATATGTTAATGACCAATTACTGCAAAGAATTTCATCTCGTCAACCAATATATTTAGGGCATATACTTTGTTCACGAAGATCAAAATTCCTGAACTGTAGTACGAATCCCTTTTTGATGGTTAAGAAAAAATAGCTTTGCATTTTTGTTTATTTATTTTTTATTAGATTGTCATTGGTTTTAGATTTATGACATACACAAAAACATACTGATGTTTTGATCTCGTCCCTGGTATCAGCCCTCGGATGGTTTCGGTCCGCGCCTTGTGCAGTGTGATAATCTATCTATATGTTACTAATTGAACATAAGTACTGTCATAATTACGGATATTAGTCAAATATGGACTGCACGATCATATTATTGTATCCATATAGTTTATAGATTAAGAAACAAGTTCAAATGCATTTGTGATACATCCTTACAAAATTACATTTTATACTTGTACTAGTCTGCATAAAGTATAATTAACATAAATTGTGAATAGAGACAACAAACACGCCTTCATAGATTACACACAAAACCTACGAGAGTTGATATAAATAGTAATATATCACAGCTGCTATGGAAACTTTACACACTTATATCCCTATCTATTTTAATAGTTGCCTGAAAATTTCATTTAATCAAAGAAAATACTTTTTAAAAAATATAATTAAGGTAAGCGCAACTTAAGATTTTGTCTAAAGCCGTACGACATGCAACAATGTTACCGACGTCGATATGACGTTACTTTCAGCTGTCATTTTCACCTCCTCCCAATTTGTTAACCTCTTACATGCTTTTTTTAAAAAATAGTCTTTACCTTCATTTTGCTATAAAGCGTCTTATTTTGAGTTGTATTAAAATTAATTGAACTTTGTTGAAATACATGTATTTTTTTTCTAAAGTTATTCTTTTTGCGTAGATCTTGTGTATCGTCAGATTCAATAGTAAGTGACGATTAAAGGTTGACTTATCGTTTATTCACTTTTCTTCTTCCTGAGTTGAAAACCTGATTTAAAGCCAGACTTGACAACTGAAACATTTACTACTAATGAGGGAAATAATTCACATTTAAAGATAAAAAAAAGTTGCATAAAATACAAATGTAAATGGAAGTCAGAATATGCAAGCGTAATATATTAAGTTAAAATATTTTTTTCATGAAATAGCTAAAAACGAGACGCTCCAACAAAAGTTGGGAGTAACCATTAAGTACACGTGAGAGATTTAGTGGTTTAATTTATGAATGAACTGTAACATCATACATGTAACGACGTCAGTAACATTCTTGCACTGCGCCGTACACAAGACATAACGTTGTGTTTATTTTAATATTTGAAATAGCACTGTATACATGTATATCTGAATGGAATTTTAAGGCATGTCAAAATTGATAGAGATATTATTATACAAAATTTGCTGAAAAGTTTCATTTATTAAAGATTTTTTTAAGCAATTTTGGTATTACTTTTGGATCAACCCCCGTAAATTTCTTAAAAGTGAGTGCATCAACAACAAGAAGTATGTGAGCCAAAGCTCACTAGTAATATCCCCGCTCTGATGTGAATACACTCTGATGTGAATATACACAAGTTCAGTTATGGACAGACACAGGGATGAACAGGAAGTTGACATCAGATTTGTACAAAAATAAATCCCATCAAATGGCATACCTAAATAAAGAGTGTGTTAAAATTTCATGCATCTGCAATGAGTAGTTGCCGAGAAAACTGCCACGGAAATTTGTTATGCATGGTACGGACGCACGGATAAACAGGAAGTTGACATCGGATTCATGCAAAAATGAATCCCACCATATGGCATGCTTAAACAACGAGTGTGTTACAATTTCAAGCATCTGCGATAAGTAATTGCTGAGAAGACTGCGACAAAAATTTGTAATGCATGCTACGGACAGACGCACGGATAAGCAGGAAGTTAAGCATGGATTCGCACGAAAATGAATCCCACGATATGGCATGCCTAAACAACGAGTGTGTTAAAATTTCAAGCATCTGCGAAAAGTAGTTGCTGAGAAGACTGCGACGAAAATTTGTTATGTATAGTACGGACAGACGCACGGATAAACAGGAAGTTGTCCATGGATTCGTACAAAAATGAATCCCACTATATGGCATGCCTAAACAAAGAGTGTGTTAAAATTTCAAGCATCTACGATGAATAGTTGCTGAGAAAACTGCGACGAAAAATTTGTTACGGACACACACACACACACACAAGGGTAAAACAGTATACCCCCCTCTCCTTTGGAGCGGGGGTATAAATATAACAAAAATATCTCTTATTATAGTCGAGACATTCATGTACAGCTTAAAAAAAATAAGTACACAGTCTCTCGTCAGATGTTAACCAGATACATAAAATTTCTTCTTAATTCGTTGATAATAGGTTTAAAATGTTTTGTCTAATACGCATGGTATATGAAGAAAATTTTATACGAATCTCTTTTATAAGCAACATACATGAACATGTATTTACTTTGAGCTAAAACTACAAATTTGTCATCGTATGATCGGAAAAGAATATACCTGATCATAAATATGTATACTTCAGAGACAATTCCAGCTGAAAGTGATGATCAATCAGTACTTTATCATACGTACTTAAATATTGACTGAAAATAATAAAAATCAGGACTTTATCATATGTATTTTAACACTGACTGTCTTTTTATTTCCAGATCTTCCTCTCTCTCAATATTTTCTTCTGTATAGTTGTCATCAACGTCGCCATCATCATCATCCATGGTGCGTGAGATAACATAGTCGTTGATATTAGCAGGCTCTTTCCTGACTTGCTAGATTTAAGAAAACAAAAAGACACTGTTGTTTGAGAAAGAAATCCAATGAAAAGTAGCATATGAATAGGCCCATGGGCCACAACACATGAGTAATCTTAGCTCCCCTGGGGGTGCATCATTAAAAGATTTTCAATAATTGCGACCCCACTTCAACTCTAAAGTGTTTCTCTATCCAGACAACATGAAAATGCTAAATAACATCATGATTAACATGTCCTTGCTGTTCAGAAGTTTTTTTTCCCTGTATACATGTACATGCAATATGTAAAATTTGATTCCACATTTTAGCCCTACCCTAACCCCTGGGTCCACTTTAGATTCCACGCAACTTCAATAATTAAGCAAATAATTAATTTGTGATTCTTGAAAAGATTTTAATAATATTTTTCCTATATACATATGTATTCTCTTTAAAATGTTACCCCCTTTCGTGATCCTACTTAGGGGCCCCGGGCACTGAATTAAACATGAATATATTTAGATATGCATTATCCAAGGATGCTTGTATGTTTAAATTACTGACCATGGCCCTGCTGTATTTTTCTTTTTGATTTTTTCAGATATTTGCCCATGTAAAAATTTGATCCCCATATTTTGGCCCCACCCTACCAACAGGGGGCATGAACTGTGCAATCTAGAATCTACATTTTTCTTTCCCAGTGGTTCTTGAGAATGATTTTAAAGGTTTCTTTCTATATATTCACATATATAATAGTTTTATACCATTTCATGGCACAGGTCCAGTTTAAAACACGTTTTAAAAAGGGAGGAGGGAGGCAATTTCCCAAAATTTGATAACAAAAAACCCTAAACTGCCCCCCCCCCCCCCCCGGCTCTACGGAACTGTGGTCAACCTTTCCCTCAGAGGCTATGATTTTAGAATTTACGCTATGTCAGAAAGCCTTCACATAAATGTCCAACATATTTAAATGCAAAATTTGAACTCTTGTAGCGCCGCTTTAAGCCTGAAGGCCATGATTTGGACATTGCTGAGTCAACACTTTGTCAGGAAACTTTCACATAAACTTTTCTGGCAAAGTTGTTCTAGAGAGAATGCTTTAAGAATTCTTCCTATATATTCCCAAGTTAAACTTAAATCTCTTATTGTAGGGCTACCATACTGCCGGGGACACAATTTAAAAAAGAGAGAGAATCTTTTCAATGTCAGGGAGTTTATAGGATTTATCTTTTCTTTCCAAGTTGTTCTTGTAGTAAACCTGATTTTTTTCTTCCAATATGTTCATATGTAAACGTTGATACCTTTTTGTGGCTCCAACCTAAGCCTGGATGCCATGATTTAGAAAAAAATTAAGAATCTTTCCTTTGTCAGGAAGCTTTCGTCTTTTCAGGTCTAGTACATTTTGAGATTTTTTTATTGACCCCATCCAATTTTCTTGATTTTCTCCTTTGGGAAGTGAGCTTGGCCCTTTAATTGAATAATTACTCAAGGATGCTTTGCTAACTAAAATAAATAGTTTCATCCACTATCTATGGGCAATTTTAATCTGGGACCTCATGACTCAAAAACATACGTTCTTAAATAAACGGCTGGAGAACAAATGATACATCGAAAAAAAATCTGGTATTCAAGGTAGACACAGGGTCCTTAGAATAGGGATCTATGCATTTGTTTTGAAAATAATAAGTTAAGGGAAAGATGTCTTCGAAATCGTGATTGTGATGCAGCTTTATTTTTTGTCAGCCGGTGTTGAGCGAGACTTCAACAAGGAAACATGGCTCTAGAGTGAGCCTTCCCCATAGAGGATAGCATATCACCCTAGAACAAATCTTGTGGGTTAAGTAAGGCGCTAGAGTGAGCCTTCCCCTTGGGTAAACTAACTTTGTTTTAAGAATTCCAAGGGAAGTATGGCTCTGGAAGGGAAGCATGGCTCTGGAATGAGACATGAATGAGTCATGCTCTAGAGAGAGGCTTCCCCAGTAAGTTTTACTCTAGAGTGAGACTTCCCCCTGGGGATGAATGACTCTAGAGCAGGAGAACCCCCGGGGAAGTATCACTCTAGAGCTCCACTTCTCTAAAGGAAGACCTACCCTACCACTAGCTGTAGAGTCAGAATTCCCTAGTAGTAGGTCTTCCTCCTTCATTTAATTTGACCGTCACGGTAGCTCAGTAGGTAACGCGCTCGCTCCGTGTTTGGAAGGTTGTGTATTCCAATCACGGTCGCGACTGAGTCGATTAAAAATAGGTTGCAACTGTTCCTTCGCCAAGCGCTCGGCACTTTGAAGTGCAAGCAAGTTGCGGGTCATTCGGATGAAAACTTGTTAACCGAGGCACCGTGTCACTATATGCGTTGGCACGATAAAGAACCCTCACTGCTCAATAGCCCTGATTACCGAGTAAAGGTCTAAATTTGAAGCCCTTCACCTGTATTTGGTGACGTCTATATATGAGTGAAAAATTCTAGAACGTTTGATCGACGTCTGTCCGTCTAGCTGTTATTCTGTCAACGTGTAACACTTTCGTCTTTGGACAATATCTTAAAACCTTTGAGCTCTTGCGATGAAATTAAATATCATTACTTCGTATAGTTAAGTACAACGTACTCCTATGTCTAATATAGTATAAAATAATAGTTAATAAGACTTGCAGCATAAAAACTACATCTGTATACGATACTATTACTAAAATCATAAAATTAATACCCTCCTTTTCCTTTCAAATGCATGTATTAATTTTACCATGGTGGGTGAAGGAGGGGGGAGGTCGTTTCACTTTAGAGCAAGACTTCAACGGGGAAACATGGTTCTAGAGTGAGTCATACCCAAGGGGATAGTACAATTCTAGAGAAAATATGACGGGTGAAAGTAAGGCTCTAAAGTTAAGCTTCCCCTTTGGGTAGACTTATTCTCTTTCGATACTTTCGGGAAGAAGTATGCCTCTGGAGGGGAAATGTGGGGCTAGACATCCCCCATTCCAATGTGTGTGTGTGTGTGTGTGTGGGGGGGGTTCACTCTAGAGCAAGACTTCGAGGGGGGTTCTCTATTTGGGAAGTTTCTCTCTACAACACCAGTATCTCCCGATCACGAAGTGAGCGCACTATCTCAAAGCTACCTCGACGAAGTGTTGAGAAACAAATACTTTTAATGTCATTAACTACCTATATTGTCCTCGTTTTCTGAATGTATGTGATTTTAAAATCTATTACCTTCTTGTAAGTCTGGAAAACTCGTCGAAGAATGCCAACAACTGCTTCTAAATCAATGCTCTGTCGTCTTGCTTCACCATGACAAATTTCGTCTGTCATTGTATACCAAAAAATTAGTAATAACAAGATATTTTCTAAAGCAAAAATGTTTGTTTGAATGTAGAAGTTGAACTTGCTATATTTACCTTTCTTTGTCTCTTTGCTTCGAGAAACGGTTGTTGAAATCAAAGTGATGATATCCTTCACAGAGGCAAGGGTGTAATCACCGATACCAAATACATCTCCAGCACTTCTGACCCTATGTTTCACTGTGTCTATTGTCTCGTTCAGAATTGCAGCAAATATATTGAGCAACAGAAAAATAACAGTAACCCCATAGGTGAAATAAAAGAACACAGCAAAAACTGGTGATGCTTTCATTAAGATAACAACGTCATTCTTCCCAATAAGTGTGTTTGCTAAACTTCCAAAAACGATGGCCATGTTCCTGAAGCTATTAACAAACCTCCCGAAAAGCAGATATACCATAGAAGCATATGCACACAGCGTGATGCCAAAGACAATAAAAAATCCAAGCAAAGGACGTGCAGAGTCAGATATTACTCTCCAGAAAGCTGAAAGCTTCTTGCTGTACTCAAACGCCCGTAAAATTCTCAGAATAGCCATAAAAGAAATGAAACCTAATACGACCTGGATTGTAATGTTCAGTACAATTATTTGGTAGTAATTAATAAAATTGTTTTCTCCTGTATATTGCTGATCATAAAACATCTTCTCGGCCTTGTCAGATATACTTTTGCGGATAATGAAGAGGGCAATGGAGGAAGCACTGGTAAGGGCAAATAATACGTCCACCCAAAACCAAACCCTTTTGATCACATTTCTACAGTCTATAAATAACTGATGTACAATATTAACAAATAGAATGATAAAGTATATCACAAAAATGACAAAAGAAGCTTGCAAAGAAGTAGGACATTCATTAAATTCCAAAGATCTCGTAAATGGCCGGAGATGAATATCTGGCATTGCAAACCCTTGTTCTAGAAATTCCAGCACAAGCACAGCGTTAATAAACATATTTGTATTTGGGTTATATAGTGTGAACTCTGTCATTACAGCTCTTGTGTGTCTGTCAATCCAGTTCTCGACTTTGGCTCTTTGAACTAGTCGTTGCGATTGGCCCCGTTCCTCGTCCAAGAGGAAAAAGTACCCACCTCCACTGTACGTGTTATACACAGCAGACACGGGTAGTCCCCAAATGGCACTAGAATCGACGTACGACCACTCCTGGGGAACAAATTCAGAATCCATACATTTGGATAATTGGTCCCATTTTGGACAGTATGATCCTTTATCCTCTTCGGTCAGCTCATATGTGTCGATGCATGGATAGTAAGTGGAAATCAAAGTGCTCGCACATTTTCCTAAACAGTAAACAATATATTATATATTTTGTGTCTTAAATTCTATTCACGTGTATTTAATATATATCTTTAAATATTTTCTTTTATATATAAAAGTCATTATGTATATATACTCATATTATTCAATAGATCTTCAAAAACATTTTGCAACCATTGCAAAAGAAAAGGCACGTATATTTTGCGCTCGAAATGGAACTCAAATAAATATTTAAAATTCCTTAAAAATATATTGCTCATTTTTACTAAGAACCTTTTTGCAAAATAACTCTAACAACTAACTATAATAGTAAACTATAGTTAACTACAGTTGTATAGTTTACTATAGTTACTATAGTGAATCAAAGTTTCAAAGTTTTTACTATAGTAAATCAAAGTTCCAAGGTTTTTACTTTGATACTATAGTTAACTATAGTTTACTATAGTTAACTATAGTATTTTTGTTGAGGTACCTTCGTCATTATATGACATATAAAAGTATAAAAATTTGCTCTAAATATGGACATTTGTCCCTATTTACTTATTATTAAAATAAATACAGTAATTGAAAAAAAAAAGTTGAAGTAATTTTGAATCCGGTTATATTGAAAAACACAGCTAAATGTTTCAATACCTTCTTCTTGTTCCAAAGAAGTAACATAATTAGATGTAACTAATGGATCTGATGAGGTTGTGGCTTTACTGGTTTTTATTCATTACTGAACTTAAAACTTAGAAGCAATGGCAACGCCATTTAATAGACTTATGATCCTTCATTAAGTTTACTTGTGTTCAAAGTTTGATTGAATTCAGACAAAAACAGTAAAAAGAGTATTTTTTGCACTTTAACTACGGATGTTAATTTCACTCGGATAGCCTTGTCGAATAATCGGGAGATTGTGTAGAACGATAGTTGAGTACTCTTTAAAAATATTTTTATATCAATTCAAAGAACAAAGACCATGTTTAGCCATATTGGCCCTGTGATTTCTTAATTTTTAAAGTAGAATGAATAGAAATAAAATTATCATTATGGGTTAGTCCACTGTTGATACCATCCCAACGCACCAAAATTTCCCCGCCAAAACGTCAGCTTCTTGAATTGGATAAGAGACAAAACCTATATCGGACGGATTTTTTGCAGAAAATCTCTACTTTTTTCTACATTTGCCATGTTTTTCATATAAAGCGCAACCTCTGATCTAAAATGTAACTGCAGTCCATTAAAATTTATCAATGAAGAAACAAAATTCTAAATAGATTTTTTAGATCAGAGGGTGCGCTGTTGATGAAAATCTACTTTACACTAAAGCGAGGAGCAATCCGGAATAATTTATTTTTGTGACGATTTCATTTATTTCAGGAGTTGTTTTGCTTTAATAAATAAAAACAAAATAACTAAGCGTACGGAAGTTATTTTCAAACAACTTAACTAAATTTTATAACACTTTGTTCTTTTATTATATTTTTAATTAGATCGGGTGCGAATGCATAGTTTGTAATTAAGCTCATTTAAATACGTAAACAAACAAATCAGAAGTTTGCCGGTAATTAATTTACACCAAGTCCTCAGAAAATTATGTCTTCAAGAAAGAACAGTTAAAGAATTTTTTGGAGGTAAGTAATTATTTTGTTTCAAATAAATATATCTTGCCGTTTTTTTTTCACTGGCAGACTGTATCGTCTGCAGACTGACGATTCATTTCAGACAATCAGATAAAATATTACGCTTTCAAATATTTTCCATACTTTTTATGTGCAAAAAATTACATTTTTTTTCATTTTGTGGTTGTGATCTAATTTAAGTTTAAATGAACTAGAGGTCTAGCGATATTTTGGTCTTCGACAGCTTATATAATCAATCGCATGCAGACGGCAGATCTATAAACGTCTCCCTATCAGATACCTGTAAATATAACATACATGTATATGCAAACTTTCTTGGTATGTAAGGCAAATAAATATTCAAATAGAATAAAACAGAAACAATTACAATAAATATTTTAGAATTATTTATTATTGAAAACGGCAATTTATCAGATTGTAAGAATAAACTATTCTACTATAAAACATATATCACTGCTATACTTGCCAGCGTCCGTGGCAACATCGTAGAGCGTTAGATTATTGAAGAGGCGATCCGGGTTCAATTCCCCGGATGTGCTACTTTTTTTTTTTTATTATAAATAAAAGAATGTTTTTTCAATATTATCTTTTAAATATTTTTTTCTTATAACATATATATACATGAAGTATTATATTTTAAATTCATTTTTTAAAGTATAGATAGATAAGATTTATTGATCCCAATTTGGGGCCCCTCAGGGCATACAAGTAAAGAATTATATACACAAGAAGAAATTCAAAATTGATAGTAACAACATGTCGATATCAAGAGAAAAGAAAAGAAACTAACTAAAGAAGATGATGATGATTATAGCAGATGGGGATTACCAATAATAAATGCTTTAAAAAATATATATATATATACATATATATAATTAGCAAACGTACAAAGATTTGTAACATGTATATTTGTACTAGAGTATTAATAATTTAATATTATTACTCTTTTGCATTTATTTGGTTCTTTTTAACATTATATAACTCACTATTTCTTATTTTAAAAATATTGATTAGAAAATTACCCAACTTGATAAGCAATATATCATTCTCATTAGACATAATCCACAAAAATTTTTCTTTATTTGTTAAACAATAAATTTTTTTATTATTTTTAGCAATATTCTCAAAAAATTCATGTCTATCATGTTTATATAATGGACATTCAATCAGTGAGTGAATCTCATCTTCCACACAATTCATGTCGCACATTCTACAAATCCTTTCATTTCTTGCAAGGGTGGTTTGCTGTCCTTTTGTGTTTACATTTTTTTCATATCTTCCACTTTCAATTCTGAGATTATGTGCACTTATTCTAAATTTACATATAATTTTTCTTTGTTCAAAATTTTTTAAAAATAAATACTTTTCAATTTCAAAACTTCTTTTTACAAAGAAATATGTTGTAAGTTTACCCGACAGACAGCCCTCTTCTCTTTTTATAAACCAGTATTGAAGGAAATCCTTTCTAATAATTTTTTTCAGTTGTTTCTTTAAAGTTATTAGTTTCATTGATTTACATTTTGACCAAAGTATGCCCATTTTCTTACATAGATATGTTACATTTGAAAACCAACTATTTATATTACAACTGTCCAAGATCATACTTTCTTTGTAAGCATTGTATAACAAAGAATTCTCGGGCATGTTCTCAAGTCTATGCCAGTAAGAGATAATTGCTATAATAATAGAATAAAAAATTGGTTGTCTACCCAGCTCTGATAGAACTGCAATATTGGTACTTTTTTTCCCTGATCCAATGATAAATTTACAAAATTTCATATGAAGATTTTCAATCTCCCAATCTTTAAATGTTTCATATAGGCATTTATCTTTTCTTTGCATTGATGTTGACAATACACCCCATATTTCTGACCCATAGGTAGCTATAGGTTTGATCATATGATCAAATAGATGAAGTAAAGTTTTAATGGGTGGATCTGTTGATTTTATATCTTTGTATATTTTAAACGATGACTTTAAAGCTTTGTTATACAGATGAGACCTTGCCTCTTTGAAAGAACCAGAATTTGAGAGTATTATACCTAAGTATTTATATGTTTTAACACATTCTATATTAATACCATTAATTGAAAACTTTTCTTTTATTAAATGCCCACTTCTGTTGAAAATAATGATTTTTGTCTTGTTAACATTGATTTCCATTCACCATTCTTTACAATATTTGTATAGCATATCAAGTTTTTGTTGCAGAGATAGCTGGTTGTCAGATAATAATACTAAATCATCTGCATATAATAAAGCTCCTATTTGCTTGTTGAAAAGTGAGACTGAGTTAACAATGTCTTTATTAAGTAAATTTGAAAGATCATTTAAGAATATTTTAAATATATTTGGGCTTAAGACATCGCCTTGTCTTACTCCTAGTTCGGGTGAGAAAGGCTGGGTCAATTTATTATCAATTTTAATGGAGATATAACTATATTTGTACATACTGCATATTATTTTGTAGAATAGTCCATTAATATTCAATTGAAGGAGTTTAAGTTTTATGCCTTCATGTATTATTGTATCAAATGCTTTGTGGAAGTCTACAAAGCAAGCATATAGACGTTTACTACCTTCGTTGGTATATTTGTCAATCAAACACTTCATTACAAATAAATGATCAGAAGTTCTAGCTTTTTTTGAAAATCCTATCTGGCTTTCATGTATTATGTTATTTTCAGATAAAAAGTTATCCAATCTATTGTTAAGTATTATATTGAAAAGTTTTCCAATACTGTTAGTAATGGTTATGCCTCTATAATTTCTGGGTAATTGAGGATTTTCTGATTTAAAAATAGGTGTTATATAACCTTCTACCCATTTTTTGGGGTAAATTCCAGAGGTAAAAACTTTGTTAAACAATTTCAGAATACAAGGGTTCATATAAATTTGTGCTACTCTCAACATTTCGTTGACTCAACGTTCGTTAAAGTATATATTTCTCCTAATCAAAATGCTATACTTTATCAAACATGTATCAATGACACATACAGTAACAAATAGTAACATGCTATTCTGTATTCACTACATTTCTCTGAACTAATATTGCTCATATGATTTACATTCAGTTTAAAGAAGAAAAAAAATAATATTTTTTTCCCTTTATTTTTAAATACATGTAGTTTCATTTAATTAATAAATGATTTTTTTTTTCAGAACATAAAAGAATGAATCAAGAAAAGAAAACAACAGAAATTAAAAAGTCTTTCCCATGCATCCTTTGTAAGAAGAGAACAAAACCAAAAGACAGAAAAAAATGTGAATCTTCAGCTATCTGTCGTTTCCTCCGTAAGAACTTTCTTGTTGAAGCCAACAGTAATGACATTCTGTGTACCAAGTGTAGACATCTATACCATGGCAACCAACAGAAATGTCAAAAGCAATCTGGGCCA